AAAGGCGGGGCATAGAGGAGAAACAATAATGTACAGTATGCGGAAAATAATGTGTTTTTTTAACCTTAAACCGCATAAACACATTTCATTACACCAAATACTCAAAATAATGTTCTTTTTAGCAACATCATATGACCCCTTTAATTATGTATGGGAAATATAGCTACAAACAAAAATGGGCAAACAATAAACCGAAACCATACTGTTAATTTGAAGCTGAACTGATGAAATATACTGATACTGAAACCCAAAATTACTGGACTTAATGACTACAGACCTGTGGCTCTAACGTCTGTGGGTGGAGGGCCAGGTCCATGTATTAGATGACCTGGGCTGCGCTCCAGTCCATTTTTTTATGTCCTTCACTCGCCAACTTCCATCTGTCTTGTTTACTCGGATGAATGCCAAATCTGACCTCAGAAGACTTCAGAGGGTAGTCCGGACTGCTGAGCGAATCATTGGTACAACCCTCCCTTCTCTCCAAGAACTGTACTCGTCCAGAGTGAGCAAAAGGGCTGGCAGAATCCCTCTGGACCCCTCACATCCAGCACACTCCTTCTTTGAACTGTTGCCATCTGGTCGACGCTACAGAGCTCTGAGCACCAGAACGACCAGACACAGGAACAGTTTCTTCCCTCAGGCCATCCATCTCATGAACACTTGACAATAACTGTGGAACACACACTATTTATTCACTCATACACTTATTTATCTAACACACACACTCAGTCTACATTTCAATTTGCACATAATATACCTGTACATACAACTGTCTATTGTTATATACCTGTACATACAATTGTCGATTTGTATATTTTTATTCCTTATATACAAGTATGTTCTATTTTTCTATTTTTTATTATCTGTGTTTTTGTTCTGTCATTGTCATTCTGTTACACTGTGGAGCTTCTGTCATGAAAACAAATTCCTCGTATGTGTAAACATACCTGGCAATAAAAACTCATTCTGATTCTGATTAAAATTTAATTAAATAAACAAGCAAACCTGTATATTTTCCTTTTTTTCCCCGTTCACTTCCTTTGATGCTATATGATTATAACATAATAAATACATTTTATGTTTATGTAAATATGCAATTATGCATTATTATTAGATAATACATAATTATATAAGTGAAACAGTACATTTTATCTCCTTTTTAATATACTCCTCATTTGTTAATTGAATCATGATTTAACAAGATAAGATTTGTAAAATTGATTTACATTTACTTAATTACATTTGTTCATTTAATATTCTGAATGACCTTTCTCTTGGTTTTTTTCATGAGAATGAAAGAAGAGTCTCATGATTATTAGTTCCCTATTTCATTATTTACAAACATGTGACTTGCCAGTAAATACACTTACTGCTATGGAAAGACTGAACTGGTCTCATGATGCATATAGGTTCGATGAAGTTGTATGGATGAAATTCTTAATAAAATCATAATGTAATGTGATTCCAGGGGAAACAATTCTTAGTTTATTCCTGTACTTGCCAGAATATTTTAACTTTAGTGGAAACAACACAAAAAAAGTATATTATTTTGCTGAAATGGAATCATTGTGATCTAACAAGACCAGTTACGTGACCTGCTGCTAAAGTTCCCTGCTAAACAAAGCATAATTTACCCAGTACGAGAAGTGCCCCTCCCCTTTATTGACTCCACACCAAATGCTTTAGTTTCTCACATTGTGATAGAGTATAGAGCAATTTAATTACTTAACCTGAACCCTTCCTCATAGTCTAAAAAGATAATTTATTGAAGTGAAGCTGTAAAAACACATGACCATCCACATATACACAAACGAGATCCATCCAATTCCAACATGAGGAACATCAGTTCACATCAGGTGAAACGATATATTTTCCACATACAGTACCATTCAGAACCTCAGGATAAATAAAAAGGGTCATAGTTTTATTTGTTCAGATCCAAACAGAATGTGCTTCAACAACACACCCCATGCCAGCGTGATGCCTTTTAGTACATTAAGAACATTTGAAATTGTGTTTGTTTATGCAAACCTGAACTTAATGACTTATTTTTTTTCCTAGTAGCAAAACATTTCCTCAAATTGGGGATTATTTTCCCCCAAACTATAATCACAAAACAAAACTGTATTCCAGAAGTAATTTGTGAGGATGATTTGTGAACAATTTCTTTGGTAGTGCAAAAGGTCAGTACAAAAAAACAAAAAAACCTTGGAATCAGCCATGTGTTGTAAAACCTGAGAAAATGTTATCACCTTGACAGTAAAAAGAGGCAAATATCCATAAACACAGTGACACTCAGTAAACAACATAAAGTGAATGTTGGAAAAAAAACAAACAACAACAAAAAAACATTACATTGTCTCCCACGGAAGCCGTGCACTGAGCAAGAACTAATGAAGCAAGATAAGGGACCAACAAAAGCTTCTGAAGAGCAACCTTATAATGTTTGAAGTATTTTTCAGTCATGCTGACTAAATGTCAGGGGCTATTGATGATGATGAAGTGTTCCGGTGTGAAATGTTCCATGATAATTGAAATCAGAGTTGTGTCACATACATAATAGTGATTTTGCATATTTCAGTGGTCCTTATCAGAAGTATTTAAAAAGGTGGATGGAGGTGGGCACTGCCACAGAGAAAGCACCTCAACTTAGATCCAAACAACTGGGACAATGAGACACTGTGCTGTCCTCTATATGTGCCTGATTCTCGTTATTGTTCAGGTGAGTGATCAGATACATCCTCTGAAACATCAATGGATATTTATTATATCTCTAATTATTTATATATAAATAATATTTGTATCTATATGCATATACCATTGTTCAAATGTTTGGGGCCAGTAAGGTTGATGTTTATTTAGCAAGGATGCATTGACCAAAATGCCTTTTATAATGTTTTTTTTATTTTTTTTAAATAAATGCTTTTAAAAGAAAAAAAAACAAACAAAATAACTCTGGGGGAAAATGCATCACAGTTTCAACAAAAATATTAAGCAGGTAAAAAGTTTTTAACAATAATAAGAAATGTTTCTTGAGCAGCAAATCAGCATATTAAAATGATTTCTGAAAGATCACGTGACACTGATGACTGGAGTAATGGCGTAACTGAGTAAAACTGTTATTTTAAATAGTCAAATTACACTACAATTTAGCCTGATTTATTTAGTCCGAGTTATTCTTAACGATCCTTTTATTCATTCTTTTTATTCTGATTCCTACTGAGAAAATCACTTAGTTAAAGAAACCTCCATGAGCTGCTTAAAAATATTAACTTTCATTTTAACATGTGAAAAGCATCCATTTACATTCACATTTACATTTATTCATTTTCCAGGTGCTTTTATCCAAATTGACTTACAAATGCAGAACAATTTGTTACTGGAGTCAACACTATGCATACAGTAAATTACTGATCCTGAACAGTAAAGGTGGTGCTTAAAAAAAGTGCTTCTAGTTGTAAGAAAATATTTGCCCTTGTTTATAGGCCTCTTTCATTTATGAGTGGAAAAATTCAGATACTAAATGAGATGATAAAGATTAAAGAGATGCATTAAAGAGGAGATGAAAGAGAACTGACAGAAAAAGCCTAAAGGTCCAGGATATGCAAAAGAGCAGTCTGGGCTTTAAATATAGTGAGACAGGAGACGTGTACCTGACATTAACTTTTATTCTCCCAGCAGCGAGTGTGGGTGTTCTAATCATGTTCTGGTGCCATTTGCCTGTCCTGTTCTGATTCAGGACCAACCTGTACACCCACAGTGTAACTACCATCTGATAAACATACAAGCTGGGCTGAGAGTATAACAAACAAGGTTTTAGAAAAGTGGCTATGGTGCTAATAATTAGCCATTGAACAATAATTCAACAGCATTTATTGGTCTTAATGATCAATATTTATTAATAGATTTTTAAAATGAAATGATATGTTAACATTAGTTCATGCACTGTAAACTAACATGAACAAAGGACAACTGTATTTTATTAACTAACACTGACAAAGATTCGTGTTAGTTTATGTTAGCTAATAATTAATGTTGTTAACATTTTTTCGGCATGAGTCCACTCAAGACATTTCCTGCAAGCATAATGGGACATTTTTCATTTTGGAATTTATTAGTCATGTGTCAATGTCTGTGTCATGAACACCAGTAAAACTGCATATAAAAATATATTATAAGCAACAGTGTTGGGGGTAACGCATTACAAGTAACGTGAGTTACGTAATCAGATTACTTTTTTCAAGTAACTAGTAAAGTAACGCATTACTTTTTAATTTACAAGAGAATATCTGAGTTACTTTTTCAAATAAGTAACGCAAGTTACTTTTTCTTTTCCAATTTATTGATTGACAGCTCTCCTGTCCTCATGTTGAGAGAAATCAGAAGATGTTACTGTAGTCCTAAAATAAATGAACACGCAATTCATCTCACTCACAAAAAAAACACAGATTCAGTATTCCTCGAAATGAATAAAAATAATGCAACTCAGAATATGATGCAATAAATAAATGTTAAACAACACAGATATGCTTTATGTAATCCCATTCTATTAACCAATGTCTTTGCTTCTGACCTTCGATGATCCAGTTCAACCGTACTAATAAGCAAAAATTACTCTAGACAAACATTTGTGTGTCTTTTTATTGCTGAAGTGTGTTGAAATTTTTTCTTCTGCATTCTACTGTACGGACGTAAATTTCCTTTCCCTTCAGCCTGAGGCTTATTCATTTCACTTTTGGTGTGAAAAGGCTTTTATATTTGCAAAAATATAACTTTTTTATTTTAAAAACAAACAAGCAAAAAGTGCAAACAAACAGTAACGCAAAAGTAACGCAACGCATTACTTTCCATAAAAAGTAACTAAGTAACGTAATTAGTTACTTTTTTATGGTGTGACGCAATATTGTAATGCATTACTTTTAAAAGTAACTTTCCCCAACACTGATAAGCAAACTCAACAATATCAGATTTGGCAGTTCACTTCAATTTTCTTTCCAAAGATGCATTAATTGATTCTTCATGTTATAAGAAATATTTTTTTACCACTCCTCAGTTTAATGTTCTTCTAATTCGAACACAGAGTGATTCAGTCATACCATTGCTTAACATGGCTATTCTTTTCTTTTCACGTTTCAATTAAAATGCAAAAAGGAAATGTCAGAAATGTCAGAAATTTCTGTAATTCTGTTAAGTATTTCAAATGACAATTTTATCAATAAAATGTCTTTATCTGCTCCTTCTAACAGAGCACACATGAACAGACCAATATTAGCACAACAGTCAGTCCTGTGACTGCATCCTCACACAGTATCCTCCAAATTATGACCGACTCAACCATCACTACCACTTCATCGACTCATATTACCAGCCCTTCTCCAAACCTTCAGTCCCAGAGCTCCTGGATCCCTTCACCACGTCCCACCATAAACCAACCTCTGTTTACCAGACCTGTGGTCACAACCAGCACCATGGCAAAACCACCGCTGACTCCCAGCCCAAGCCCTGGCTCCTCCAACCATCCTCACGGCAGTGCTTCAGCCCAGTATGCCCACTTTGGATTTCTGCTGATCTCTCTGATGTTTCTTGTTGAAGTGGGTCTTTAATGCAGTCACACAGAGTGCCAAATAATGCTTTACCTGCATTAACTTTCATTAACTTCAAGATATATTAATCATTCTTCAGTTATTTTTGTAGTTAGTAGTCAGGAAATATTTTTCTGTGGCACTTTAATGTTTATTTTACTGTATAGATAACTCACAAATATTGTGTGATGCAATGCTGATCTTGTCAGTCCATAACACAGCCGTACAAAACAGTTTTTTGTCAAATGCCAAATTTGTAACAAAATAAGCTAATATATAAGACATAAACATATGTATTTGTACAATTGGGTGAGCTAGGATTGTTTTGTAATGGAGTCCCATTTGATGGTCTGAAGTGAGACAATCACACGTAATTGCAGATGTTGAAAATGAAAATCAGGTGCAGGATTTTGCTTAATGCACCATATGTCACCATATGTGATCTGTCAAAGCAATCTCAAATAGTGCAACAATATGTGAAGTACAGTTGTGCGATTTCATGTCTCGTCCAGTATAACTTTTTTTGCTTAACAAACCAAATGCAAATACTTCAACTTTGCAAATTAACTTTTTAACTGATAAGGCAGGTGTGCAGAAACCAGACCTCTCAGGACATTTCCTGCAAGCAGAAGAGGACATTTTCATTTTAAATGTATTGGTCACATTTCAATATCTTTGTCACGAACACCAGTAAAACGGCATGTAAACATCATAGTATAAAATATATTATGAAGAAATACATATATTAAAACTCAGCAACAATTGCAGTTCACTTTCATCTTCTTTCCAAAGACACACAAACTGATTCTTCATCTTATGAGAAATTTTCTGAACACAGCTCAGGTCTAATACAGAGTGATAATAATGTTTGAGCATTCCAGTCATGCCATTGCCATTGAATGTGTCCTACTTTCATACAGTACCACTTTCACTGATGTGAGCTTAAGAAAGAAAAATCCTGATCTAGGATTATCAATAATACATATATTGTTTAAACATGTGTGGAAAGCATGATGTAGCAACCAAACTAACCATGGAGGTCACATATTTTTGCAAATGCAAATAGTTTTCTTAATCTGTATTTTTGTTTTGTTGTAGTATAAATATCTCAACATCATTTAAACTAGATACATCTACTTGAGAAACAAAATTGTGTAAGATTTATTGATTAAAGTAAGACTTGTTCTTAGAGTTTTTTTCTTTAAACTTTGTTAGATTTATGCTTAAAATAAGAATTTTACAATGGGAAAAGAAAAAATAAACTATATTCAATGACAAGAATGTATCTTTATTTATTTTGCTGTATTAAGATAAAAGGATGCTTTTATATTTGCACTGGAAAATAAGACAACTTTTTAAAGAAATGTTAATAAAGACTGTACAAATGTAATTTTGAGTGCAATGAGTGAGAGGCCAGCTGATTGGCTGTTTGACAATGTTAGTTGTTTCGGTTTATGGCAGAGGGGAGTAGCCTGTAAAAGCTTGTTTATCGCAAACAAGGTCTAACCACTCACACATTAGCACCTGGACCAGGATCTCCCTTGTCTTGAACATCATGTTCAAGATTTTGGTTTTTGCATTGCCCATGGCAGCTCAGCTGTTATTTACATCTGTACAGGTAATTTCATTTTTTTCTATTTGAGTTAATTAAAAAGTACATTACAGTCCATAACAAATACTTAAACTAGTAACAAAACAGTAGCTGATTCAGAAGCGCCGGATTGTCATAGCAAAGTCAGAATTACCTCCTCTCCTAGGTTCACGAAACGGTCATCTATAAAATGCATTGCTGTTCTGTTGTAAGTGATCTTAAAGATTCCTAAATGCATCTACTTTCGGAAGGCCAAATAAAGTGCTTTTGCTTTCACCTAGAAACACACAGCGTCTCCCTGACATGGCTGCTTCAGCACTAACTGCGGTTACTGAAACCACGCCTTCTTTCTTTGCTTGAACATTTGGGCGGCATTACAAAAATATTTCCACATAGTGAGGTAGATATGTGGGGGCATGTTAGAACGAGCCATTTTAGGGGGGCGTGGCAGAGTCTTAACTTTGATAAAGAATATCTCTTTGGTTTTGAGACTTTAGTCTTTGCAACTTCAGGGATCTTATCTATGCACAATCAGCTTGTAACACTCCAAAGAGAAAGGAAAACTTGAAATCGCATCATATGACCCCTTTAAGGAAATTGATGTAAGATCCACATAAATAATGAGTGTGACTTGTTTTGAAATATGACAATTTACTATTAAAGCAAATGTATGTCACACAGTTCTTTTGAAATGAATAAGAGGTTATTTTAAATTATGCAAAAAACAACCAAAATGTCAGCACACTGATATAACTGCTCAAAAAAACTTTATTAAAACCATCAGCTCTTTATCAGGCATGTGTATTTTTGATGGCAATTTTGTTCTTGTTGTGGCTTTTCAGATGTTTCACTGATAATAGTTTATCAAACACAAAATTAGACAGCATTACACTAATGTATATGTTTTTCTGAAGTATTTTCAAGCATCAAAGTGAAACAAAAGAGCCTGATGTCATATTCAAAGTGTATGATTTGAATAAATGATAATTCATGATAATGATAATATCAAAATAACATTCTTTGGGGGGGGGGTTATGTCACACATAGGTGAGTCTGTGCTTAATTACATTCTAACTGTACCATCTTGTAATGTGGTTCTATAAGCAAATAGATTTATCATGGTAAACATCCCATTATTTTACATTTCAGACCATTGCACAAAGTCCATCTACAACCATACACAGCATGACCACTGCAACCACAGTAGCAACAACAGCGCCTGCAGCAGCAACAGCAACAACAACACCAGCAACAACAACAACGACAGGACCAGCAACAGCAGCAACAACAACACGAGCAACAACAACGACAAGACCAGCAACAGCAATAACAACAACAACACCAGCAGCAACAGCAACAGCAACAACAACAACAACAACTACAACAACACCAGCAACAACAACAACAACACTTGCAGCAGCAGCAGCAACATCAACAAAACCAGCAACAACAACAACAACAGCACCAGCAACAACAACACCCGCAGCAACAGCAACAACAACAACAACTACAACAACACCAGCAGCAACAACAACAACAACACCCGCAGCAGCAACAACACCAGAAATAGCAGCAGCAACAACAACAC